CGTATCGGGTTTTCTGGCAACACCCCACTGTGCAGCTCACTCTCCGTCGACAAAGAAAAAGCAATATTTTCAGCCATGACAATTGGAGCATAGCCCTGTGAGCACTGTACCACTTCTTGTGGTATAATAATACCACCCCCTATTTGGTGCAGGAGTTTTGCTCAAATAGTAAGCTGCGTGGAACTCCACAGGGGAAGCATTTTCATGATGAATTTTCCTCCATAATGCAAGAAAGCCTAGCAGAACACTCCAACCATTAGGCACTAATCACCCTGGAGTCAAGAAAAAGTAATGCAAAATGCGGCAAATGGGGGGAAACATAGGGAATCTTAGCCCAGCCTTAAGCATTTCCGCGTAAACAACAATATCACCAGAGGAGATGTCGCAAGCAAGCTCGCCCATCTCAGCCTGGCGACACAGTATAGTCAGAGGAATACGATAAGCAAAAACAAGCCTCAAGATATCTTAATCCGAATTGAACAAATTGGAAAGGGTACTCACCTTAGACCTATCGTCATCAAATCCCATTTTGCCTTTGCGCTTCTTCTTCTGGGGCCCTAAGGAGTGGTCCGAGCCATCGTCTTGAGGGATTTGGTTTTGAGAAGTCATACTTGGAGGAGTAAGATCGTGATCACCAAAAGCGGCACCCAAAGCTTCCTTGTCGCATGCAGTGTTTAGCCTAGCACCTTGGGGGTGCCTAATGCTCTATGCTCACCCAAACGAGACAGTCTAGCATCTGGAGAAGTGTCTGACCACCTTTGCTCGCCCAAACAGGACAACCCAACGCTCCAAAGTTGCACAAAACAGCTCCAAAGGCGCCCGAATTAGCACCTAAAGTGGCGCCCAGATCTGTACCTAAGCCCAAGCTGCTGCCCAGCTCCCCTATTGTGCGCCTGTTGGCTTGGGCAGCCCCTTTTCTGGCCTGCACGCGGCTGTCCAGCCCGCCAGTCTACACGCCCAAGCTGCCCAATTCGCCTGCCTGTGCGCCTACACTGTCTAGCCCGCCAATCTGCACGCCCAAGCTGCCCAGTCCACCTGCTTGCGTGCCTGTGCTGTCCAGCGCCCCCCCCCCCCGTCTGGGCGCCTGAGCTACCTAGCTCACCTATTTGCATGTCCAAGCTGTTCAGGACAACATTTTTGACACCCAAACTGTTCAAGACAGCACTTTTAGCACCTAGACAGCCCCCTGCACTCCTCCTAAAGCAAGAAAACTCCTCAAATTGGTCCAACCCAGAGCCTAAAGTGGTGCCCTGTTCAGCGCCTACCACCTCCCTCATTCGATCTCCACCACTTCAATGGAGTTTTGCACATCTCCCTCTTCAATCGACATTGCCCACTTGAATACTCCGCTCAAAAGGAAAAAATCCCACCTATATATATATATATATATATATATATATATATATATATATATATATATATATATATATATATTCTTAGAAGGATTCAAGAAGAACACTCTTTTCCCCTCTCAAGTTTCAATTAAGTGGGTAGAACTTGGGTTTTCAAAGTTCTCAATAATGGATGCTCAATCTCAATGTGGGTGAAGTGGGTACAACTTGGGCTCTCAAGATTTTCAAGAATGAGTGTTTAATCTCAAGGTTAATGAAATGGGTAGAATGAAGAAGAAGATTATATTTATAGTCTAAGGTTTTTAAAGAGGGAAAAACCCAAATTGAAAATTATGGGCCCTTTTAAAAATCCTAGTAAAAGTAGGAAAGGCTTGAAATGTGCACCAAAGCAAAAATGCATCACACAAGTGAAGAGTCATCTAGCAAAGGAAGTCTTCGCCATTTATAACTGAAGATGCAATGTCTCATTCTCCAAGTTTTCTTAGACATAGGAGGCATTGAGGGGCAAATGATGGGTCAAGCCCAAATAACCGAATTAATGTGAAAAGCCCAAATCTCAATTGAAGAGTCTAGTCTTATACAGACCCACCAAGCCCAATATTATCCAAGTCCAGTCAAACAAATCAGTTTGACTACGTCATCAAGAGAGAACATGAGAGCCTTACTTGCACCGCCAAGGAAACAATCCACCCTCACATTATCCTTGACCGCATCTCATGGAGAGCACCTTAACCACCTCGCCTGTTGAGAAGAAGTCATGAGCTTCACCGAAATGGTTGCTTAGTTGCTGTAAAATAGCCCCAACCTATTAGAGGGTCACTATAAATTGCATGCCCCACCCACACTTCGGGGGTATCACATTTTTACCTAAACACGACTCTCTCCTCTCCCTCAAAACTTGTACTCTATGTTTTCCACACCCTTGAGTTAATAAAGTACCTGACGACCAGAGTCATTCAAGAGTGGACGTAGGTCTAGTTGATCGAACCACTATAAATTACTTGTGTCTCTCCATCTCTTTACTTTAAATTACTGCATTTATTTTCAATTATTTGACAAGTGGTGTGCAAAGTCATTTTGTACATCATCAACATTGATTCCTTGTATTTTAGTAAAAAATTGGATTCTTTCATAAATAAAAAATTAGATTTAAATTTTCTTTCATACCATACAATATTGTCACTCTCTCTCTCTGTTTTTTTTTTCTCGAATTCTCTCTTTTCTTCGCACCAAGTCACCGATTATTATTACTCAAAATTTATTTATAATATTGCAATGAATTTGATAATTGTCATTTGATTGTTTTCTTTAATTTTATTATTTTTGTCAACGCTCTCTCAATAATTGAATTTGTATTTTTTGCTTTTTAAAGAAATTAGATTTTAATATTTAAAATTTGACAGTAATAAATTATATTTTGGAATAAATTGTTTCAGTTGATTGGTTTTGGTTACGATTTATCTTATGAATAAGTAATAAGTTATCCTCACTGTAAAAACATTCTGGCTCCGCCCCTGATGATAACACAATGTCAATTCATGTAGACAATGATTTCAAAGTTTAAACTGAAAACGCCATCATCATTCCAAAGAAAAAGCTATATCAGTTCAACACATGAACGAACAAAAAGTTCTGGGAATAAAAAAAGAATATGCAGTTTTGAAAATAAGGATTTAATATAAGCTCGATTAATTATGATAAAACTCAATTAAATATGAGTTATATTTGACTAACACATGAACCAAATTCAATAATTCAAGATTATAAATAAGTAAGATATCAATTAAACAAAAATTAATACAATAGGACACCATTGAACCTTACTCTATACATACTTGGAAATATCACCAAATTCACTGTCGGATTGACTGAATTATGGATAGCTACCAAGAGCCACTAGTTATATCAATTATCTAAACCACTGATTGACAGGGTCATGACTCATCACTGCTCACAGCGTTTGCAACACAGTTGCAATCAAATATCGGTCGATTCCAAGTTACCAACACCACTCGATCTTATCATATCCGACTTAGTCGATGATTTGTGGTGTATATCTAATAAGGCAATTCGAGTGCTTCCAATTATCATCTTCTAATCAACTGATATTATTTGATAAAGACATAAATTTCTTATTATGTTTAATTTATTTTATTATATAATATTATGTGTGTATTATTTGATACAATTTTACCATATATAATTAATAGTTTACATGGTCAATTAACTCTTAAGGATAATTCAGTGATTAAGAGTGTGTTTGTTAATCAAAATTCAACAATTAAATTAAATATATTTGACACTTATTAATTAAACTCGTCTGATAATTAAAATTTTAACTCTCTTAATATGTTAAGTGCTCATTTAAAATATGTTACAATATAAAGTAGGAGATCCATTACTTAATTCTAAAAGCTGAAAACGTTCAGTAAAATTATCTTTAATAATATTTATAATATAACAATTATACCCCAAAATATTTTACAATCATATTAAAACTTTAATTAGTATTATCTCCAAAACTCCTAACCTATCTATCTTCCTCGTCAATCGTCTTCTTCAGATAATAGGTGTTATTCTTCTTTTTTTTTTCTTCGCTCATTTGTTGCAAATAAACATATTGAAACACACTCACGTTCACTGCACACACCCCCACCCACACTCTCTTTGGTGGGTGGGTGGGTGTGTGTGCCCACCCAAACTATCCACACACAAGTACAAATTGCACACACACACACACACATATTATTAATGAGATTTAATTTATTCTTTTTTTTAATTTAATTATTTATTTATTTATTGTTGTATGATTATTTATTAGTTATTGTTTTTTATCAGATGTTATTGTTTACTTATTGTGTAATTTAATTAGTTATTGTTCATTTATTGTGATTCGATTATTTATTTGTCATTGTTTTTTTTTATCAGATGTTATTATTCAATTATTGTGTTATTTAATTTATTATTGATTTGATATATTATCATTTTTTATTAGATAAAAACATATTTTATAAATATTTTTAAATTAAAGAGTGGAAGGGTAAAATTGAAAATTAATTTATTTTCAAACGTCAGTTCTGTGTAATTATTAAAAAATTTGGTTTAATTCAGTACTTAAATTTCAGTATATACCAAACAGTCTACAAATTAAGTATTCAACTTTCAGCTTTCAATTTTTAGATTTCAGTTTTTAATTTTCAGACTTCAGTTTTCAATTTTATAAAACATCACCTAAGTCTAGTTTTGAATAACTCAGAAACTTTGTTCAAAAAATATAACTCAGAAATTTTACATTTAATTCTTTTTCATACTCTCTAAAGGTCAACCATTTCTGTTCCTTTGTACTCTCTAAGGGTCAATCATCTCTGTTCCTCAAGGACTTTCTCTAAACTAACCGCTAAACTCGAGAAAGTAGTGGGTATAAGTTTGAATACCTTATAATAAAAAAAAATTAATGATCAATTTTGTAACCTTAAATCCATCCTTCTCCTCTCTAAAATTGCGCAATTGCTGTAGGAGAATGGGTAAAGGCCAGTCACAAATCAAAAAAAAAAAATAATAAATAAAGGGGTTAGCGGTAGAATTTAGCAAACACTGTGGGTAGCCACTGGAATTCATCCATTTTAGAGCGACGTCGTTCAAAACGCTATCACGCCTTCACCGTAAGTCCGTAACACTTCATCTAACCACCGCCATCCAGCACCCCTATTAAATCCGCCGCACTCCGCCCGCGACGGCGCTCACCCTCAGTCTAAAAGCCACCGACTAAACCGAAGATCAAAGCTCAGTGAGAGAGAGAAAGAGAGAGAGATGAGCACTCGTTCTTTAGAGACTCTACTACCGACAGAAACCCTGGAACTGGAGAGCGGCCTTTCAGTCGTCCCCCGAGTCAAACTCCTCCTCACAATCCACCGGTCAGACAAATCAATCTCACCAATTGACGAGTGGCAATTCAAGCGCTCACTCATCGACTACATCAAAACCTCCTTCTCGATCACAATCTCCGAAGACGACCTCGAAGTCAAGAGATATAAGGACCTCAAGAAGCGCAAGCGCGAAGATCCCGTAGCTAACGGCATTCTCTTCATTCGTGACTTGGGTTTTCTCAATAAGCCCTCAACTTATAGAATCGGCAATGATGAAGATGAAGATGTGAAGGTTGTGGAGAAGAGGCTTTTGGAGTGGAGGAAATCGATTGTAGAGAAGATGGATGGGATTGAGTTGAATCTTCAAGGAGTTGGGTTTAGATTGACCGTTGCGGTTCCAACTTCCGATGATTTTGAGGGAATGAGCAAGGAATGGGAGGGGCTTCATGCATTTGGCGGTCGAGGTCCGTCTTTGATTTGGTACAAAGTGTTAAATTTTGATTATTATCTGTTTGTAATGTGATGTGATTTATATGTTTAAGCATCATGGAGAAGTTTAATCTCCTACACGAGCCTGAAGAAGAACAGAAACTGGTCTATCTTTGTTGTTGGTATTGCTTGAAAAACATGGGTGCTCTCAATTAGATTTTGTACCTAACTTTATAATTTCTTTTCTCTTCTTCTATTGCTAAACAATCTATATGTCTTATTATGGTCAATTGAGGTCATACATATGTATGTAAAGTTACAGACTTGTGCATACATTGTGTAGGAACATCTAGGGGTGGGAAGCAGCTGCCTGATACGATTGTGTTGAGAGGTGTTCCATCACGGTGGTTTGCTGAGCCACGAGTTTCATCTAAACCCTCCATGCTGGTTACTCATACAATTTTTTCTGCATTTGGAAAGCTAAGGTGTGTTTTACTAGTTTTAGTTTTATTGCAACTGTTTAATCAATATGCTGATGAGTCATACTGCACTTGTTGTGTTGTATTGTTTCTGTGTTACTGGTAGCATGTTACACTTTGGCTGAATTGCAATTTTATAGTTTTGAAGGACATGAAAAAACATAACTTTTGTATGCTAAACCCAGCCACAAATTCCCAAGAACGACATAATTTTTTATATGGGAAACCCTGCCTCAAATTCCCAGGAATTCAAACCTTAAGTTTTCCTTGAAATTTTTTGATCTGGATGCCTAGATCTGACAAGGAGAGTGGGAGACAAGTGTTCTTTCCATGCATTGTTGGTGAAAAATAGATGGTGTGGTAGAGAAAGAAGAGTGGGGTTTGGTCACCTTGATGTCCCAAATTTGTGGAAAGCTGTCTTAATATATCATGGCAAAAAAGTTGATATGGTTGAGCCGTCATTTACACTCCGTAGACCCCAATTTGTGGGTTAGTTTCATTGGAACTTCTTGATTTCCTAAATGACGTCTACTTTGATATGTTTCTCAATAACAAGTAATATATTCTTGTCTAGAGCTGTTACTGATAACAACATACTTCTGTGGGATTGTTTTCTTTGGTACAATGTTGTTATCTCCTGAAGCTCAGTACATGTTTCTACCCTTGATCATCTTTTTTGCTCAATAACATTTATTGCTCCTTTAACCCACTCTCAATAGGAATCTTGATGTTGCTGAGGACGATGATATAGGTAAAAATGCGGATGAAGAAAGTGGGGACATAGTTTCAGGTCTTCAGTGTAAGATTGTGGTTCGGTTTGAGAAATACAGGGACTTCTATAATACTTTGAAGGTGTTATGTGGCCGTTCGTTGCAAAAGGTGGATATCTGGTTTCTCTTTTTCCTCTTTAAACTGTTTTGTTGGAGTTATACACCATACTAATTCGACTTGAGGTCTGACCAAAAAAAAATTGACTTGAGGTGGGAGTACTGGATGATGTGCCACAGCTTGACCTTGCAGACGATGCAAGGTCATGGAAACACATTCTCTTTCTATTTCTGATGTAAAGGACACTGGATTTGTAGGAGGTCCTCTCACACTTCGAAAAAAACTATCATTTAAGAATTAGGACTGGAGGATCCTCCTTACTATGAGAAGTTAACAGTGACCCAGGCATTGAGTTGCCACCAATACCATCATTGTTTTATTAATCTCCACCCACAATCATCACCTAATTCAACCAGCAGATGCCATATGCCGCTCTTTATGTCACCACTGTCAAAGCACATCAAAAGCCCACACTGTTAACACCATGCCAGGCAAGCATATCAAGTCCAGTTCCACAATTTTTTATGTCACAAAATAGGGTAACAATTCTGATGATCTTATAATATGCCAGAAATATGCAATTTGGGCTTTGGTGGCCAAGGAATTTTGCTTTTTATTATTTTAGCGGGTTGGAGTGCTTTATGTGACTTATATGCTTTTGATGTTTTTTTTCTCTTTCTTCTCTATGTTATTTTCTACTTCTTGGGATTTATTATCCAGCCTCTTTTGAAGTACTTTTCAATTTTTATTAATACAGATTTCTGATTTCAGTCCCCAAAAAAAGCCTGAAATTTGACAAAACAGTGGTGTTTAATAGGAATGAGCAGTCACTTGTAAAATAAAAGCAAAAAGAAAAAGAAAAGAGATAATATCCTTTAATTCAATCTTAAAAAACTTAAAATTTGTTTTGACGTAAAAATGCCAAAATGTTCGCAGCATTTTAGATGTTAAATTCCTTGTAACATGTTTGACTAATTCTTTTGTTTTTTTTTTTTTTTTTTTTTTTTGGGGGGGGGGGGCGGGGAGGGGGAGGGGAAATTGGGATTCATATGCCCAAAGGCTCCAAACAGTATTCATATTTACGTTTGTACATAAATGCATATTCATGCATCTAGTGCATTTGTGTCTGTGTGGAAGCATGCAGATCTGTATAGATGCATGTAAATATTCAAATTCTACATATATAGAAACTCTATTCAAGACTATATGTATACTGATATGGAACTCACATATCAAGTCTATAAGCATGCCACGATAGTGATCAACTGTGTATTTTCTATGTATCATTAATTATTGTATGACTGAAACTTGTTGGATAACAATTATGCAGCAAGGATCACGTCTGAGGGCTGATTATGAGGTGACTTGGGACAAGGATGGCTTTTTTCGAAATGCTATAAGCCGCACAAAAGAAAAGAGTAGATGGATGCCTTCGGTGGCAGGGGGAAATTACAGACGTGAACCTCCTAGGCATCACTCTCGTGTTTCACGCTTTAGTCCGGACAGAGCACGCCCAAAGAGGTTCAAGGTTGGTAACCAAAAAGATTAGTAAATATTTGGAAGAAGTTTTAAAAGATGCTTTTTGATTGATCGACTATCGTTACCTGGGGGGAGTGGGGTTGCTTGGTTCTTTTCCTGCTTGGAACTGGCCGCATGTGGAATACTGTCTTAGAGCTTTACTTTGGCCAAAAATTTCTTCCAGTTTTAAACCTTTGCCATAATGGGTGACAAGCTTAAATCTCATTTTTGCAATTATGTCTTGTATTCTGCACCCACCCTTGTCTGTATCAGGATTTTCTCATTGTATCCAATTGGAGAAGTAATTATTAGACAGATGATTCACTAAATTCACCATCTAAATGCAGGAATAGCGAATAAAACGAGCACCTGGAGAACAATCGCCTGGTCGAGCTCAGAGACTGGAAGTTATTTATGGTGAAATTAATTGATCCTTTTGGTCCCTTTTGTAAGATGACTGCATGATACAGGCTTCCTGCTGAGGAAATGATAGGGGTTAAACCTATTGTTGTATAAGTAACTCTATTTTCTGAACAATAGTTGTTATTCTCTCATCTATTCAGCAAAATGAAAGCCCCTAGTCTCTCTCTCTCTGGGAAAAACTTTTAATATACTGCTTCTTCTGCATGCTATCATCTCGCTCCCTCAAGAAACTAGTTTTGCTTAGTCATTGACAAAGATGGTTAATATGCTGCCGCTGCTTTTGGTATCTCTGTGTGCAAGAGTTTAACTCCTGTCCTTTTGAGGTGTTTAACTTGATCGAACGAGCCGTATCGTGCCTGTCTTTCAAACTCGACAAGAACCAACACCACAACTCGTTGCCAATTCGACTACCGTCTACTAATCAAAACGTGGGGCACAAATCAACTCCTATATTAGTGGCAAAATTTTCCGCCAGTACAGCAGCCCGTTGTGAAAAATATTTGAAGTTGACATGACCAATAGTCGATACATTTGCATATCAATAATACTATTTGGATTTAATTTGTTAATATAAATTGTTGTCTTAATCTATTATAATTATTGGATTCACAATAAATTTGATAGTTATGAGTAATTAGGTCAGTAATCATGTGCAAGTAAAATTGCTCTCGACGCGCGGGAAAATGCTTTTTAACCGGTCTGTAAATCTTCCAAAATTCTATACTATTACCTACTCTCGGGCACAATGAAATTTGGCAATGGTCCGGCATGATCATTAAAGTAATTAGTCGATTGATCACACTAGGTTTTTGGCTGAGAATGACAAAATTATCAACCAGATGACATGGCGGAGCTCACTTCCCGCACTTTTTATAGCAAAAATAAGTTCGCTAATCTATGAAAAAATCCCCCACAGCCTCATTCATATCTTTACTCGCTTGGTCTCTCCTCTCTTTTAGAGAAACGATCTTGTTGTAACTTTAAGGGGTAGTTCAAGTGATAACAGTGATAAATCGTCAATTCAGACGTCTTGAGTTTTAATCTTGCCAAACCTTTGGGGTTAGACTATGAGACTTATATTATTCATGAATTCCCTAATTTCGGCGTAGATGATCTGCCTTTGACTGGACCGGAGAGGAAATAAATAGAAATTCGCATAAACTAGCCTAAATACTTCTGACAGTTGAATCCAAAAAAAAAAAAAAGATAGAACTAGAAGAAAAGATCGTTTTGTGGACGATAGGATGCTCTAACGATCTGGATATCCCATTGTGGAACTCTCCTACATATGTTTCCAAATATAGGAAGAGCTTGAGCCCAATCTTGATCATTTTCATTTCAAACTTTGTCAATTGTGATAATATTTTCAATTTGTCTGTAGATTCATAGGATCACGCTTGTTGATTTCTGTGGATCTACCAACACACGGAAGGACGCCTTCCAGGAAATATCAGTGTTCTTATATGAACGCTGACTCTAATTATACAAAATGACTTGATCCAAGCAGCCTCCTAGAATAAAAGTATACACGTTTTGTTTTTTTGTCAATTATTCTTCGCAGCATGTAGGATTTTTGAGCGAAACAGTGTTTCCGTATACCGTCAAACTGCTAAGTGCATCACAACGGAACAAAAAATACAAAGAATACTTCGATTCTTTATGTATCGAACCAAAAAAGAATTTTTGAATCCACAGAAAAAATAGAGAAAAAAAACTCTAAAATATAATATTATTAAATGAATAATCCGTAGAACAAAGGAGTAATATAAGTAGAAACGATCAAAACCCTAATTGTTTCCATAACTGAAGCAAAATCTTTAAAATTATGAAAATTACAAAAAATAGAAATATGTAATTTTTATAATTAACATAAAAACACGTGTCATATGAAATTTAATAAAATTGATAGAGCTGAATTCAAATCTTTTATGATTTATTATTAATTTTCAAAATCTTTCTTAACATGGTTAAAACGAGATTTTGAGGGTTAAATGATGGAATTTAACCCAATTTGAAATAGCTTATGGCAAAGTGATGACTATTGATTGCTGGCTCAATCCAGATCAAAATCACTGGTCTCATTGAATTCTGAGCCTGACCTATATTACTTATACTTCATTATACTTTGAAAACACGATGATTAACCTATTCTAATACTCTACTAACACCTAATTCTACATCAATTGTTCCCTGGACTATTATTTAAAGACGAACTTTGGCACAATGTTAAGATTACTCAATTAGCATTGATGAACTCCATGAAGATTTTAAAATTGTTGGAAGTCAATGAAATGAAATCAGCATTCACATTTAAACTTTGAACAGAACTAAAATATAGTTCCAGGCTACAAATACAATGGGCTGCATTTTAACCTAGTTCAACAACACAGAATAATTTACACTAATGAACATGTCTAAGAGAGATTGAATTTCCAATCCCACCCAACAAGTTCAACAAAAAATCGGCTTTTATATCGACAAAATCAAAAAATTTCACCCAAAAGGGCAAAAAAAGGAGATGAAAAACACATACACAATAAAGAATCAAGATGGATGATCTTCACCAGCTTCTCCGATGGCCTTGTTGTCCAGCCGACTTTTCGATCACCGGTCTGGTTATAACAGTAGTCCTAGGAGAAGAAGACTCGGGAGATGCTAATCCAACACTTGCAATCATCTTCTGAGAACTCAATCTTCTTCCATAATCTTTCTTCTTCTTTGATCGTCTCAAATTTGAGCTCCTTCCTTTAATAGTAGGAACCATGTACCATACAAAAGTTGTACATAATATCGCAAAAGATCTCCCAGACACAGTCAAGATCAATAAAATAAAGATTATAACCGCCGGCAAGTAATAAGAAGGCCTTCCCCAATTACCCATCTTCATATTCCATGCAAACCTGCTCTTCTTCTTAGCGTTTTGCTGCTCCGATTCGTTTGGCGGTTTTCCGATTTCATTAACAGACTTTGAGAGCTCAATCTGAGGCTTATCCGAGGCTACTGAATCTATCATTTGCTGATCTTGGACATTATCAACAATGGGGTTCTCTTGCTTTTTGTCTTTCAACTTCACCACGATGGGTTTGATGTCATTGGAGTTTGAGTAAACGAATCGAACGAAAGAAATGTCATCTGAGCCTATTTCTGTGTAAATCTTCTGCTTCTTGTCTTCAAGTTCAGCTAAAAGTGCAGAGAATTTATCAAGTCCTCGGTCTGCATATGGGTTCTTGCTAGTTTTACTTCTGCGTGAACTTTTTCTTCTTGATCCTTTGCGTGCTGAAGAAAGGCTAGAGGGTTCCATGTCTTCATCTTCTTGGCGATGAAAGCTTCCACTTCCACAACAGAACATCTTGAAATGGGTATGATGATGAGAGAGCTTTGAATTGGTTTGGGACTGCTTTGGACTTCGATTTTTGGTTGGAAAAAAAAGAAAAGAAACAGAAAGCTCTTAAATATTAAGGGTATGTTTGGAAGACTGGATCAAAGGAAGAATAGTCAAATTACTGATATGGAGCTATGGAAGTCTTGAAAAAAGTTAAATTATATGGAAGCTTCCATATGGATTTCAGTGTTTTGACTTGTCGGAGAGAGGGTTATAGCCACGTCAGCTGATCCACATTGAATATTCTTTCCAAATGAAAACAAGGTAAACGGTACCCCATCCGTTCTAAAATATTTATCTTCTAAAACTTTTACACAGAAATTAAAAAAGTTATTAAATAACTCATGAGTAAAAAATAATTACACAAGACTAAAATACTCTTATTCAATACGTATTGAGAATGAAAGAAATATGAAAGACACTTAACCTCTACCTAATCTAATGCATTGAAAATTAAGGGTAAATTTAGAAGAAAAAAATATTAATTATGCTTTGGTTTCATTAAACGACAGATATTATGAACAAAAAAAATTGTGTAAAACAACAGATATTTAGGAACGGAGGGAGTACCAATTATAAGAGTAAATATTGAATGTCACAGTGACATTATGTCATCATTGATGATATGGTACCACCAACTAATAATAAAACTCCAAATGAAAAAAGTGAATCTTATTCGAGCTTACATGACAGAAGAGTAAAGAGTTATTTTCTTACATGACAGATTAGTTATTAATTTTTTTGAGATCCATCTATTTATTTGTTTTATTATTATTAACTGGTGATATCACATTTCTCTTACCACATAGTACATTTTATCCAATCGTAAAGACAAGTGACTTGGAGAAGGGGTCTGAATAGGAGCAATGTTGTGTGTGTCTTTCAGATTACTTCTAGATGGTCCGTCCATTCAGCTTAGGTGGATGGAGAGACGTACGGGCTGGGTTAGCTCTCTCTTTCTCCCTCTATGGGTTTGACATCACCAGAAATCAACATCTAGGGTTGTTAAATACAAACAGAAAAATATAAATGTATTACCTTCGAAATTCTGACAGAATATTCAACACAACAGTGTCACCGACTAATATTAAAACATTAAATGAACAAAATAAATTTCATTTAAATAGTTATTAACTTACATAAAAGAAGAATAAGTAATTATTTGATTATATAGATGAGTAATTATTGATTTGTGTGTGAGACCTATTTTCTTATTTGTCTTTATATAAGTGATTGATGATACCACGTGATAATACTATGCTCAAGTAATATCACTGTTGTAATAAATATTTTTTTTCCAAAATACTCTACTCAATTGATTAGTGCTTACCTAGGAAAACCCTATATCATGCAAAAGAGGATAAGGGTTTGGTGCTATTATTTAAAATACTTGAAATACCCCTATTATTTTCTCATATTAACTATCCGAAGTTATATATAGTGCTTCGGAATTTATCCCTTATGATTCTCATATCTCTCTCATCTAATTTCACTTTAAAATTGAACACACGGGTAATTATACGTAAAACCACTATATATATACAATAACAAAATTTTTTAAGACAAGGACATATTAGACATATATTTACAAAATAACCCCGAATACTTGGCAATCACTAGCTAATTATAAATAGAGTAATACTATTTGGTCAACAGAAGTAGAATCCGAGTTTACGAATTTAATATATATGGATTAGGTTTGATGACAAAAGGGCATTTTCCTCTAACGTTCAGACCAATTGCTTGGGAGCTACGAAAGGTTAAAGAAAAGGGAATTTGTTGGGGAAATTATAAACTGAAATTGTGGATTAGGAAGCAAAGTAAAGACATCACTGCATAATATTATTAATCACCAACTTGAACTTCTTTTATGTGTTTCTTATTCACTAAAAAACAGCCACTGAGATCCTCCATATATATACTTGTAATTGTATCACCATCTTATTAGGTTAAGCTTGTGATCACTTATACGATTTAAACATTATAAAAAAAATATTTTTATTAAATAAATATCATTAAGATGTTCAAGCAAAAAAAATACTCAAATAAAAAGTACTTTTTTTTTTATCAAAAAATGTGTTTGAATTATCAATTAAAAAAATATTTATCTGTTTCTCAATTTTTAATATTTCTCCAAAACATATATTAAAAATCGAGTGGTGGTGGTGGGTAACGATGGACAGTGACAGAAGGGATAATGGTGGTAGTGGTAATAAATATAAGAATAAGAAATATTTTGTGTAGAAGTGATTTTAAGAAGTATAATTTTTACTTATTTAAGTGGTAAATTTTTTTTTTACTTACTAGGAATAATTAAAATATTTTTTTTCCAAAATACTATTATTTTTGAATTATTTATGAAAAATCATAAATCTTAAAAGCATTTTTTTTAAAAATCCTCTCCAACACTCTCTTTGTTTGGGATGATAATTGCTTCTTCAAAGATGAGCCTAATTTTATTTTGCCCCGATGATTATTGATTTGAGCATATTATTCAACCATTTATTCAAATTTATAGCCTTTATATAACTGCTAAAATCCGCACTTAATTCACGTTTCATTTTAAAAAACAGTTCATACGAGTTATTTTCATTCAAAGTTCAACAATTTGATGATATAATGTGGTCAAATCAATACATAAGTAGGTAAAATGAAACACGATTGGCCAGAAATTGATAGAAAATCAAAGGAAAATGTCACTAAGTGACGATATGTTTACTCAAAATTATTATTTTTGTTTCATGACATCAAACTTATGTTAGACAAGGTCAAAGTAAACTTAATCATGCAAAGTAAACTTGGAATATATTTGATTATTATCGATTAAACACGAGAATTTTTAAATAGAAGCAAACCCAAATTATCGAAATTCATGATTTAAAATAACCCGCATCACCCTTGACCGGTGTTTCACTGAATTTTGCAGTCTGACTAAGTCATATGCCTACAACCTGCTAACATGAGCCGTAGTTCACACTGATTACGTTGTTGGCTGCGTAGACAAAGTTAATACTTACTTGCACTGCAACAATTGAGAGCTAGGGACGATTGTTCACATTGTTGCTTTTCATAAAATGATAGTTCAAATGTTTCTTGCAATCCTCATTCTCTCCTCATCGTTTTCTTTTCTTATATTTTTTTCATTACATCGCTACGAATCTAAACTTTAGCCAACTCAACAAAATTTTTACCTATGGGTATCGGATTCTCTGGCCCTAGACTTCATCCCTTGCGTAAACCAGACTAAGTAGTTCATTTCGATGTTCTACTTCATGCCCATTGCAACTACTCGTAGCAAGTCCTATATCCCCGATGCTTTCCGTGCCGAGGAAGCCCTTGTAATTGGGCGATGATTTGGCACCAGATATCCGGAGGTGTGGAAAGAGCTTCCGTGAGAAGTGGAAAAACCATCAAAAAATGACGATTGTTCGTGACAGTTTTCACATGAAAACCACTTGATTTTACAGTCACTGTTCAGTCAACATAATTGTGTCCGGAGGCGTTGTCGAATAAGGGCCCACCACCTCCCATCCAACTTTTAGACACTGTCCTATTATTTTAGACACTGTCCTATTATTTCAGAAATAAAACTTACTATACCATACCATAATCTAAACATTTCCTCCTCAAACACATTTTAATTGGTATGCTTGTCAAGATTTAAAAGTATTAGTAGTAACAGACTACTGCTTTAACACCCCCCCCCTCTCTTTTTTTTTACAATCATGGGTTCACTCATTTGACTCTATGTGAGATCCCTTTAATACATTTTCTCTTCAATTATTTTTTTACTAGATCGTCTATCATGTATTCAAATGAAACCCATTATATACAAGTGTGATTCTCTCTTATTAATGGTAGATGATTTATCCATAAGAAAATTAAAGATAAAATGTATTAGAATAGATTTGGATTCGGACCTCACCTCTGAACTAGGAGAACTAAAAGATAAATGTGATGAGAAAATAAGAGTCATTTTTAAAGCCTAAGACTTGGATTATATGGCAACAAATTTTCAAACTATAGCAGCTTATTGAATATACAGGAAAGAAAAAAAAAATTACTAACCAAAAAAAAAAATAATACACAGAAAAAAATAATTAGGTCAAATCAGTAACTTTTTGCAATCATCATCCTAAAAACTCATTATAGAAATATAGGACAAGATTCCAAAATACATTTTTAATATTTAATGTATGAAAGGAAAATTCACGCCACCTTGCTAGGTCGTAAGTCAAGTCATTGAAAACGAGTAACAGACAAACCCCCTCTTTGTTCATTTCGTTTTGTTCTATGCTTGGGACCTGTCTTTGTCTTACGCGGCCTCTTACCTAGGCTAGGAAGAACATTAAGCAAGTGGCCCTTACACCTGTTACTTAGAACTAGGTCGCACAGAGCGGAAATGAGGCGAGAACGAGAACGTAAAAATGTTAATATTCAAGTGTCACATTATATGCATACACACACACATACATTTACTCATAATAATTTAACATAAATAAAATAAAAAAAATTAAAATTTCATTTATAACTATGAGACAAACTATTTAATTTTTAAATATATGTTAATTATAAAATCCTAATATGACAATTATAATTTACAAGTATTATTCTAGTTTGATATCTTTAGGCCACGGTCAGTATTTTCCAAAATTTTTTTTGAGTAATAAAAAATAAACATATAAATAAGTAAGAGTGCGAATTAATCGAATTTGCAAATTAAAAATTTTCAAATTTTATAATATGAGAGGGCAAATTCGCAGAGAATTTGCTCCCAGAGTGCGAATTCACGTGTAGGGCACGAGAGCTTTAGGAGTTTCAAAAAATTATGTGACTAAGATCTAAAACCAAAATTAAAAGGAAAATGTTATGTGGATCTATCGTGTTTACCTTATTTGTTGATCTAATGTATTATGGTAATTGAATTAGTAGCTGATTTCAAACAATAGTGAAGGTCACTGTCAATCCAATGACATATAGTCATTAGATCAAGAAATTAAGTCCAAGTAGCATTCAAATAAGAACAGAGTAATGTTGTAAAGACCAAATTTGAAAACCTAATCAAATTCAATAATAAGATTAGTTGTCAATTTTAATTTTAGACGGAACACACCAGGGTTGAATCTAGGGTTATCCTATAGTGGGGGGAATCAGTAGTTTGAGGAGAACAATTACATAACAATCATCTAACTTTTTTTTTTTTAATGCAAATTCAGATTAATTTTCACATAACAATCAAATCGATTCCAAGAGATTCGAATTCGATTTAAATATATTTTTTAATCTAATATGAATATTCAACGAATTTTTTTTAACAATCTATACCCAAATAAAGTAAATATTACGTATTTGAGCAAATATGTGAGTTATTTAAATTTGAATTTTATTAAATTATATTTTAGTTTGACTCAATTGTATCAAGTAATAGTCAATTTCATCATATATCCACATATATGAATGTAATAATTCAAATTATATCACAATAAAATTAAAGTTTAGTATATCAAAAATTATTTAATCTCATGAAATAGCACATAATAAATTTGAACTTGGATACTTGATCAAAGTTATCAATTTATATGTAACTAATCGAATTATGACTCAAATTGAATTCAAGTTAAAATTCAATATGTTAAGAGACCTAAATTTTAAATTTATGAAATAATCCCATTTGATTTTTAAAATATGAAACTAAACCCAATTTTTTTTTTACAACTTTTTGTGGGGGCAAGGTTTAAAAAACCTTTAGATTTTTGAAATTTCAAAAAAGACCCTAAAAATTTCAGTGTGGGATGAGAAGAAAAATAGAACACATTTGTTTGGTTTGAAATGGAGGGGCATTCCGAGAATCGAACTCGGGACCTCTCGCACCCAAAGCGAGAATCATACCACTAGACCAAATGCCCATTTTGCACTTATTTGACTTGAAATATTTTTAACAAGCAATAAATTGTGTGCTTCTAGGTTTGGGCTTCACAGCAGTAAGTAATTCTTTTTCTTTTTTTAGTCATAGTAAGTAACTCTGTTAAACAAACCCTTTGCTCCAACATATTATCTTTTCGGGTTAATCTCATTTTACACCCCAAAAGATTGTTCGAATCTGAATTTGCACCCTCAAAGATCAAAAATCTCAATTTACACCCTCAAAGATAGAAATTTGTATCAATATGCACCTCCAAAGATAAAAAAATCTCAATTTGCACCCTCAAAGATAAAAATTTGTATCAATGTGCACCTAAAATTAAATTGATAAATTATACCTAAATCCCCTCATACTTGTCATTTAATCATTTAGACCTCTTCACATTTAGAATATTACTCCTACATCTTATGACATTTGTGCACGTATAACACGTAACCCATTTTCATTGATATCTATTAATATAACCGTTAAAAAATATAATTTTATCCTAATAAAAAATTATAATTTCATATTACCATTTATTTTATGGGTTCAATATATTCTAAAATTCAAAATCTAGTTTACCATTTGAATGTCTAATAAAATGTAAATATTTATATAATATTTTTCATATTACCTTTTATATAAATATCTATATTTTATTAAATATTCAAATTATAAGTTTGATTTGCAACTTTAGAGTATATCGAATCCACAAAATAAAAGATAATATGAAATTATAATTTTTTATTATGATAAAATTATATTTTTTAACTATTATATTAACAGATATCAACGAAAAGTGGTTATGTGTTACACAGACACAAACGTCATGAGATGTAAGGGAAATATTCTAAATGTGAAGGAGTTCAAATGATTAAGTTACAAACATGAGGGGATCTAGGTATAATTTATCAATTTAATTTTAAGTGCACATTGATACAAATTTTTATCTTTGAGGGTGCAAATTGAGATTTTTTATCTTTGGGGATGCACATTGATACAAATTTTTATCTTTAAGGGTGTAAATTGAGATTTTTTATTTTTGGGGGTACAAATTGAGATTTGAACAATCTTTTAGGGTATAAAATGAGATTAACCCTATCTTTTCACCCAAACGGATTTGAGCCCAAATGCTACAGAACATTGTTCACCCAAAATCTGTCATTTTGGGTCTTTTCAGAATGGGCTCCTGAAGATCGGCAGCGGCTTAATGGCTCATCAATCTGTGGTTGGACCGTTAAGTGCAAATTCAAAGTTCACCAACCCCCTGCCAGTTATAGTTACAAACCAGTGACACAAAAAAAAAAAAGGATGGGCCACTGAATTCTATGTTCTGCATTTCACGAACTCAAAAGCTTGCCAGCACAAACTATGTTGTACATTCTACCAGCGCGTCCCCGATTCTACTTCACTATGCTCCGTTCTTGTACAAGGAGGAAGTCGCTCCCACCAGCTTAAATCACTTTTTTTTTAGTAACCCTTTTTTTTGACACATTATGTTTGTTGGATTTACAAATTTTTTTTTTTCCTTTTTGATTTTTGAAAGTAGTAATGTGTGTATCCTAAGGATTCTAGGGTGTCAAAACTATAGTTGAGTAACAACCTGATATATATACATGTTAAAAGGTCTCAGTGAATGGAACTGAATACCACAAGAGCTGCTTCAAATGCGGCCATGGAGGCGGGCAGTAGCCGCCTCTACTGCAAACACCACCACACCCAAACTCATCAAGGAGAAAGAAGGCAACTTGAGCCAGCTCGAGGGCGAGAACGATTGAGTGATCGAATACAACTCAAAATTTGCTTGGATACGTCTTCAATCCAAAAAAATAAATTTTCTAGTTATAGAAGAGCTGTATTTATCGAAAAACTGTACTGAAAGTAACAATCTAACTATATCAAGTCACAACTCGTGCCAAATTACAATTCAGTGTGTTTTAAGGTACATCGATCACAAATTTTTAGTAATCGAAGAGCTGTATTTATAAAAAACAGCAATAATGCATACTACATGGTACACCACCCGATCAACAGTACTCCTAGACACTGACAAACACAAACTCACAAGATTTATATAGTTGTACACTCCACAAATTTCACTACATACCCTACTAATAGACACAGAGGGTGAATTTGTATCTATTAGTAAGATTTGTTTGTAAACTATAATACTAGCTAGAAGGCCAACAACTAACATGTGGACTGCATTCATACCTCACTGGTATTTGATTGGGACCGTCGAAAATCTCTGCTGCCACGAGACTGCTCAACTGATCCCGATCTCCTCACTTCTGTACCATCTCTTGAATCACGCCGCCTAAGTGTCTTCCCATTGCCTACTCGATCACCATTCTGAAAAATCTTACTCAATAATCCTTGAATTGATTCAGGAGATGGACAGGACTTCACCTGTAAAACAGAGGAGTGTGTGTTCAAGAACTCAGTATAAGCGGGCACAACAAACTGAACAGTGGCCTCTCTTATCTGCTCTCTCAAATCAGCATCAGGTATGCTATAAGAGCTTCTATGCTTCTGTGAAATCTCTTCAAAACCCTTCATGAAAGCCTCCATTTTGCCTCTAACCAGAGCACCAATTCCTTCTTTGTTAGCTCTTTTCAAGTCTTCATTATCAAGCAGTTTCACCAAAGGCCCCCAAGCTTGTTTCTGATACAAATAGGCCGATTCTTCAGCAACAACCTTGTACTTCTTTTTCATGTATTGCTCTCCCAAGAGCTTCCCAAGTTCTGAATTCTTAGTCCTCATGTAAATGTACCAATATGTATTCATTGTGAATACATGGGCAAGTACTTTGTTCTTGTAGCGCGTCTTTTTGGCCTCAATGTCCCTCTGGAGTGCTTCCATAACATCAGAAATGGCGTCTTTAAGTAAATTCTCATCAGTTTCTGGCTTTGAGAGTATGCCTGATTTCCATACTTGTTCTGTCCTCAAAACTTTGGCCATTGGTACGCTATAAGTATCAGTTGCAAGGTATTTGAGATAGTTAGTAGCATATCGAACAAGCTTTGGTACTGAACCGTCTTCTGGTGGAGGAAGACCTTCTTGGTTGCTTTCAATTTGGAGGCCAAACTCCCAATACACTTTGGTGGAAGCATGGACAAGGAGCTTTTCGAGTTCTCGGCCCCGGGAACAGATATCAACTCCAGCTTCACCTTCAAATATCTCATTGAACTCAGGTTTGAGTTTTTCTAAAGAATCAAACATGTCCAAAAGCTTGAACAGCTTCTGGGGTTCTTTACTGCTTCTTGCAACACCTTCGCCAAATCGAAAAAATACTGCCATGATCTTGTCTGCAATCTTGACAAAGCATTCTGGCCATACCACCCCATCCATGAGGTTTCCCAACACTTGATTACAAAGGTTCTTCTCTGATACAAAAACTGTTTTCACTGCCAACTCGAAGTGTTGAATCCAGAGAGTTATTGCTGTCTCTAAGCTCTCCCACTCCATCTCATCAATTTCTTCAGGGTTGTAAGTTCTGAGATAATCAGGGTTTAATCTCATTAATGCTTTTGCAGCTCTTCTATACCTTACCTGTTTTAATACACAAACATCAAACAAACTTTCAGTTTGTGCTTTTGCAATAGTTGGTACCCTTTAGTTTTATGTACATTCCAAAATGATTTAACCATTAGGTAGGGTCTAGTGTTCCAGCCCGCCCACAACTTGACTGAATCTAAAGCAATAGAATTCAGTCACGAGCAGAACTCAGAACTTGCTTTATCGGATCAATTACATTCAACTTTTTCATTATTCAGATCGTAATGCTTATCCTGTTCACCTTTCAGGTATGTTGGGGGTAGATCTTGGCGACCGACAGACTGTAGACAGCGGGTCTACAAAGGTGAAGAGAATTCCTCAAATTCTCGATGAAAAATTTTTTCGCTTTTAAAATTGGGTCTTGTGATTCGGCCTTTTTGTTACTTGACTTAGGATTGCCTAGGAAACTTGACTGAGTCAACCTCATCATCCTCGTCAAATTGCATTTGACATATTTGTCAAGTATAATTTGTCTTCTATTGATCATTCTATAATTACTCTAGGACCAATGCATCTTAGTATACTCCGAATAATTGAGTGTTTCCAAGACCTTGAACCAAGCTATGGTGCCAATTGATAAGATGAAATCCAAACTAAGCTTTTATTGATACTAGAAAATAAGTAATAAGATAGTTTGAGGCACCGATCACACACCTTGACAAAAATGTCGATACATATGTCGAGACAATCATTGGCCGCAAGAGTCTCTGAAATTCGCCTAAGAACCTCTACCTCCAGCTCACTACCTAAATCGGAAACAACCATCTCCGCCTCATCACCACCTTGCGCCTCCACTATGTTCCGATGCCTCAACTGCTGCAATAAAATCTCATACTCATATTGCAAATACAGCAAAGCCTCATCAAGCAATCCATCAAACCTCATGGCATCGACCTCCGTCTCATAAAGAGCTTTGAGAGTCATCAAAGTCTCTCTCAATCGATAAGTCCTGTACTGATCCGTCGCCTTAGTCCTACTCAAAAACTCCACCACCTCTTGCAGCTTCTGAATCGCCGGCTCACACTCCTGACTGATGGAATTAACGGCGTCGTTGAGTTTGTCGACGCAGTCGACATACTTGATCAGCTTCTTGAGACTCTTCTCCGGCGACTTCTCGTCGGATAATTTAGAAGAAAGATCGAGAAGTTTACGCTGGAGGGACTCTGAGAGCTTGAAACTATCGAGGAGGGCAAGAGCTGGAGAAACAGCTCGGTTGATTCTTGTATCGAGTGCTTTGGCTGCAATGGACAAGGACTGCAATGGAGCTACTCTTCTTGAGGTCCTTGTTAGAGTTTCTTGCAGATCATCAAACTTTTTGTCCATCTTTCCTAGACTTTCCTCCATGTTAACTGAGGTTTGAAGGATGTTTTTGAGATCGGAACATGCTGATTCGAGCTTGACAAGCGTTGGGTCGTCTTCTTTGGACTCCATCGAGAGAGAGAGAGAGATGAGCAGAGTTTAGTTGTATATGGTATTGGGATTGTAGGGGTATTATGCTTGGAAGGGTACGAAAGAGGTGGCAAAGGAAGAAGACGAGAAGAACAACCAAGAGACCGAGTCTCGGTGTAAACTAAGAACAAATGGCATTTTGGAACTGAAGGCAGACAATGAATAGATGCGGAGATTCCTAAAATCGTAGCCGGAGGTTTTACATATGTCCAAACGTTACCAAGCCCTTGAGGAAAGTGACCCCACCAAGCTCAAGTGACAAATAGAAAAAAAAAATGACAAAATGGTAATTAAACATAATTATCTGATTCCTAATTTTGTTGTTAGATTAATAGAGCATTTTAATGTTAAAACAATGATCATTATTAATTTAACAGTAATAATAAATCAAATTATATGATTAAGTAGATGTAACAATCGTATCATATCATTACATATTCATGTCGAACACTACTTAACTTTAACTCAACCTATTTAACTCATCGTTGGATGATGATTAACTTGTTTATTTTCATGTTGAGTTTGTATTCATTTTCGTGTTCACCCATATAAATTTTGAATAAAAAATTTAAAGTTGAGGTTTAAGTTTAAGATTCTATTATCACTTAATTGAATCTATGCTCATTCTTTTTTTATAAATTAAAAATTAATTTAATAAACATAATAATAATAAGGGTAAATTGCATCAATAGTCTTTGCCACTTATTACACTTTGATCCCTAAAATTCTAATTTCATTAATTTCGTCCCCAAAATTCAAACATTGAGTCAATTTGATCCTTGACACTAACCGCCGTTACAAAAATAAACATAAAACATCATATGCTCGTTACGTGCATATCTTTAAGGGTATTTCTGATAACAATATTTTAAAATTGTGTCCGTTATACAAATGGTACTCAACATGATAATTATAGAGAATATGCAATTAATAAGAGTATAAATATAAATTAACTCAATTACCTTTTCCGGCCAACAATCCTCTCCCTTTTTCTGCCCATATTTGAATGGATTAAAAATGGTGGGCCCAAAAAAAACTCTTTTCTTATCTTTTTTCTTTCCATCCACTTTTTTTTCCTCACCAAACAGTAGAAAATGCTTCATTCTCTCATATTTTTCATCCTCGCCTTTTCATCCACATGTTTTTCTCTCTTACCAAACAGGACATGAGAGAATGAAGAATCCAACTTTGTACATTAATCCTAATTTCTAAATTCTTCTACATACTTGCAGGCTAAGCATGCAACTTTAAGTGGAATGGCCCACCAAAGAATGAGGAAGATTAACCCTTATGCTCTGTTTGGTAGGGAGGATGGAAAGTAGCAAGAATGAAAAGTAAAAGAGATACACTTTCTATCCTTCAAGAGTGGAAAGTAAAAAATATAGACTTTACTTCCTTTGTATTTGGTTGGATCGATGAAAAATAAAAATGACTATTATTTTTTTTTGGTGCTGGTTAAGATTAGGGGTGATAATCGAGTCGTGTCGTGTCAGATTCGTGTTGAGTTATTACGGGTTTGTGTCGAATATTAGTCAAACCTAACTTAACTCATTTAATTAATTGTGTTGTGCCGAATTGCAAGTTGATCTGTTTATTTTCGTATCGAATTTAAGTCGTGTCATTGTGTTGAATCGAAAATTTTTACCCTTAGTTAAGATAGAAAAAATATTTTTTTAATTTAAAATTTTAATTTTAATTTTTTAATATATATTGATGGTGTAAATTTATTTGAATGAGCAGAAGGTCGGAATTATGCTTCGTAGCTTGGATCTGAGTTACTAGGCTCGTGAGGATTGTGAGAAGTATTGCTAGGGGTTTGGGATGACTTACACAATGAGAATATAGTGGTTTTCCGGCTCGAGAGCTTGGCTAGTCCACTTGTTTAACGGAGGCTCTTGCTCCTCTTGTTTTAATGGAATTTTCAGTGTGCCTTCTCATGTAACTAGGGTTTTTCTTGCCCCATCTTGGAGGCATTGTACATTATATATAATATAATTTTTATCCCTAAAGGATCTGCAGTGAGATCGTTGTTCTTCTTCCACGGGATTTTCCTTGATTTTAAGAGGGGATCTTGGGTGATTGAGAGTCTCACGCCTTGATCCCTACTCTTTTGCTATTCTGTGGACTCTTCTTATTGGCCAATTGTTCTCTTCTTGACTTCTTTGATATTTCATCCGAGAGGGACTCAGGACTTGGGCTTCAGAGGTCCGAGCTCCTAGTCTGACCTCGCTTCCGTAGCTCATACTTAGTTAAAAATTATTATTCATGTATCATCAGTTGTCCCCCAGCTCTTGGTTCAAGCAAGCTTGAACAAGGGCTGAATTCAAACTGGGGCAGAATAGGCCCTCATTTGGTGACCTCGGTGTTCGTGCGGATAAATTTTCGACGGTTACTTGTAATCATTTATCTTCTCGTTTCTTGTGGACGTTGCCCACTTTGAATCCCTTTGAAACTGATAGCTTTAAATACACTTGGATCAACGGTCTCCTTCTCACAATTTGAATTCTCTAGTTTTTCTCTTTTTCTTTCCTGCAATTTTATCTTCCCAGATTTGCCGTCGTTCTTAGGGTTTCTGAAAGAGACGATTTCCTCTAATTTGATCTGAAGGCTTAACGAGGCTTGGTTTTGGATTTTGTTCTCGAGATTTGATCCCTCGTTGGTTCTCGTTTAGATATGTCTTTCATCTTTTTCCCAGTACCTCGTTCTAGATCCCTCAAATATGAGGTGGTTATTGCATTTTTGGACTTTTCGATTATGCTATTTTAGGAATCAGAACCTTTCCCTATCTCGTATCCCCCTCTTTCTGGATCCCTACTCTACGACTAGGATTTTTGTTATTGGTCGTTGGTGTCTTGCCCCTGACTCTCAGGGAGTGTTTCTCAAAGGTTCTTCCGCTTTATAGGTCTTTTAAGCTTCCTTTTTGTTACCCAGTTATGCCCACCTCCTTTGAAGCCACGGGTTGTCCATCTCTCTAATAAGGGATAGGTCCGTTGAGGGGGACTTCGATCTGGGAGATGTGGGGCAGAAAATTGATAGCTTTCCTGGCGTGGATTCTACTAACGTTGGGGGAGGTTCTGAGGAATCTCCTTTGCCATCCTCCCGTGCTCCTAAAGCCCTTAGCAAGGGCAAAACCAAAGTGAGCGATGTAGGGATCTCTGGTAATGCCGAAGGTGGAGGTGCTGCTCCCAGGGCTGCTGAGTTTGTGGGTCCTAATGACCTCGTTCCTTCTTATTTGAAGGTTCTAGCCGTTCATTTTGACTTTCCTCGAGGTATGCAGTTTTGGAGTTCAGACATGTTCACCCGATATGATTCTTCAATCTCCAAGAAAATCTGTTTCTTCATGGCCGCTTTTGAAAATGGCCTCCACTTTTCCATGCATCCCTTCATCAAGAATGTTTTGCAACATTTCAATGTCTGTCCTGCCCAGCTCTCTCCTAATTTCTGGGGTGTGCTGGTGAGTCTCCTTGTTTTCTTCAAAAAGCACAATCTTTGGGTTCTTGCTGTACCTTTGCTCATTAGATTTTTCAATGTCAAATACACTCCTTCTGACGGTTTTTATATATCTCCAAACGCGTGAAAACCAAAGTTCTTATCTCCAATCTTCCGAGCTCCCACAAAGGTTGAAAGAAACTTTTCTTTTTCGTGTGGGGAAGAGACTGAGAGTTCAATTCTGACGATGTGACAGATACTCTTCCAATTCCTTGGGGCTGGTATGCCCCTAACAACTTGGGTGAGTATTTTCCTGAGCAAGTTAAGACAAACTTTAGTGTCTTTCTTGACTGACCTTGTTCCGTTGGTTTTGTTTTTCAGGCATTAGACCAAAACTCAATGTTGCAGATGAGCAAGTTTTAAGGAATTTGACAGACTGCAACTCAGAAAAATATTCAGAGCTTATCAAGCCTCAAGTTCTTGTAGAGCTTGGATTTAGTCCTCGTGAGGTGAGGATTGAGAACCCCACTCCCCTTTCTGTTGTCAATGCTGAGGAGGTGGCAAGTTTGTCTTTCTTTTCCCGCCTTTCGGCCCTTTTTCTTCTTACTTTTCCCTTATTTCTTTTCTTTTTAACTTATCCTGTGCTTTCAGGTTCTTCCACAATGCAGCCTTCCTAAGAAACGCTTAAGGCCAAGGTTGTTTTGTTAAAGAAGAGCAGGGGTGGAGCCAAGTGTAAGGCCGAGGTCGGCTCTGGTAGCAATACCCTTCCTCCAGCTAAGGCGTCCAAGCTGGGCGTGTCTTCCGTTCCTCCTATCTTTACTCAAGTGGCGCTTATTCCACCACCAAGTGTTTTGCAACTCGCAGAAGTCTCTTCTCTCCAAAGACTCTTACCTACTTCTAGAGAGATTTCTGAGCGTGGTCTAACTTCCCCCACTTCAGCCAAAATCGAGGGGGCTTTGGAGATGGTGACTCCAATTTTGCCTGGCTCTACTTCTTATGGGTTGCCTGAGAAGCCTCCACTACCATCCCGGACTAGCCCCAAGGCTGAGAAACGGAAGTATACCAAAGAAGAAAGAAGTGATGGCTCTTTTCTGGACGACGTCGTGCTCGCTGCTGGTGCTCTTGATTCCATCATTCCCCTTTTTGACGTTCAAAGGGCTGTTGCCATGCCACTTGAGAACTCCATCAACGCAGCTTTGCATAGAGCTACTACTGTAAGACCTCGTTTCTTTCATTTCTTAACTTCATTCTTGGTGATCGTTCTATGCTGACTTTCAATCCCAGTTGCCTCTGCTCCCAGTTGGCCATCTATGCGAAGGGATTGTCAAGTTAGATTTGAGATTTGGAGAGCTCTGCCAAAGCTTCAAAGGCATTCGAGCTCAAATGTGCCGAGCTGGCCTTCTCCAATCATGACCTCCAAACTCAAATCCAAGACTTACAAACGCAAGTGAAAAGACAGGATTCAACCATCAAGAGCTTAGAAGCTAACGAAGAGAGGATTTAAGAAAAGCTTAAACTTAAGACAGATGTTTGGGCCAAAGCTAGTCAAGAAA